AATTTTATTAAGAAAGGACTTGTGTCGCTTAAGTTTCGTCGGAACGAAGTTACAGAAAGTTAATTAACAAACGGAGACGTAACAATATATTCGGTTTCCAAGAAGACGGGTAGATGGCCTATGTATGTGTATTTTATGGCATTCTAAATGCAGCATGAATAAATGCTAACATAATATATAAACATAACCTAGCAACGATATGTTCCAATGAAATTCCAAGGTGAATTTTTCTTCGCGAACTAGCATTATCGCTGACAAAACCATGGATAAAGCAACGGCTTGATACTATTCATCTTTCAAGATCACCACGATTCAAAATCTCTCAGCTAAAAGGGGAAGGTAATTTTACGTAATCAGGGAGACCGCTTCCAACTGGAAGGAAGCGATGTCACTTCTGCAAGCGAGAAGTTGATTGAAAAACAAACATACGTGTCTCATGTGAAAACCACTATGTGCTGATCACCAGCTTTACATGTGCTCAGAGTGTAATGAAGAGTCTCACAAATAATGTAACTAATGTCAGTGCATAAACAAACGTATTAAGTGAAGTTTCTATAATCTTTATTTATTTGTATTATGTAAAACTATGAATACATGTTTTTTGTACATGGGATCATCTGGGACCACACCTGGTATTGATGATTGAAAATTTAACGCTGGCATTCTAGGATTAAGAATGGGATGTTTATATGCAATAGCAAAGCTGTATTAAATTTTTATAACCCAATTTTTGGTCATTTGTGCAATATACAAATGTTTAATTACCATTTTGTGTTTGAAAGTATGTATACGTAATATTGTTTGTAATTTTTCATGAATGGATCAAACAGCTGAATATTTTTAAACTTGTGCTACTCTCTCTACAAAATTTGTAATATTGAATATTTCACAGATTCTGATTGTGGAACTCAACTTTAAGTTTAGTTGTAAAATGATACAAATTCCTAATAGCAATCTCGTTCCAAAAGTATATTAGTGACAAGTTGAAATATTTACTTTAGCAGGACTTTTGGGCATTGTGGAAAAGGTGAGAAACTTAGCATTTTTCAAGGGGTTGGTGAAAACGGTACTTGTTACATACCCAACGCCATGGTGACATTGAACTTATAACAGACTCTGCCTAAGTAAGTTAAAAACATATGACCACAATCCATAAAAAACAAAACACACGCAAAAAGAAAAAAACATTAGAACAAAAACGTGGCAAAAAACAAAAGCCATCGACAAAAATATAACATTATAATGTCAAAAATATGTTGCAATCCAAGAAGGGGCAGTATTCTAAGCTATATTTCGATACTTTAATTTAGTTGTTAGCAAGACGATGCATGCCGTTAAGATCGAAAACCATATATTAATATCTAGACATGAGTACATTAGTTATGAATACGAGTTGGTTCAGTGATTGAAAATTTAATGAAGTATTCAAAGTGAAGGAATCAAGTAGTTGTTGATCAAGTAAAGTTACTCAGTTGGAGTTGGTGTTTCTGTATGCCAGTTAGTCTGCATTTGTTATCAGTCGAGGAAATAAATTCCTGTTAAACGGTATTAGGCCTTCAACATGCGTCGAAATGAACATAATCTGTAGCATACGTTATTGAAGAAAAATTAACTCATCGTTACGTTACGTGTACTGGACTTGGAATAATTTTTATCAAGTAATCCAATAACCCGCCCAACAATAGAAAACGTCACAATATATATATCTAGTAATAAGTATAGCTAATTGGGTATAATAATCAAGCTATATTATATTTGTAAGGTCGAATTTATTACAGTAGGTGTCTGTGACTTGTTGGACATAAATTTTAACCATAAACAAACAGCAACACAGCCTGCTTGTTTTTATATAATATATTAAAAAGAGTGAGTTTGAAGCTAAGCACAAAGCTACACGATGGGCTATCTATGCTCTGCCCACCGCGGGTATCGAAACCCGGTTTCTAGCATTGTAAGTCCGCAGACATACCGCTGTGCTATTAAAAAATAAATCAAACGTATGCACAAACGTTCGTTACACTGTTGGTCACCACAGTTGTATACAGAGCTTTAAATCTGTCTTTTTTTTTCGTCAAAGTCCACAAGGGCTGGTTCAGTTACTTTAGAACTCGATTGACAAGACGAAATATTCTTCTCTACTCTATTAATACAATACAGTCTGTAATAATTTCACTTTAAAAATCGTTATTATGCACTATTTGTTGCTAAACTCACGATCACACAGTCTAGAACTAGATAATGATTTTTCAACCCCGACAGAAATCTAGAACACCCAAAATACTAGATATTCCGATACAATAATGCCCCATTAAATCAACGAGAAACTGAAAAAGTTCTACCAACATGACGCAATAATCTCAATATTGCAAACAATCGCTAATTCATAACAATTGATATACACAATACCTGATTCGTAAACAGTTGTGTAAACAAACTTATTCTACAAATAACTAAGTATGACACCCGCGCTATATAAACTATCTAAATCATAACATTCGCACTATACTTAAGCTGAAATATTCATGTATATCTAAAATTATTCTGAAGGTTATAATGATGAGAACGTATTAGTTTATCAGTTGAATACTAATCGTAAATGTTAATGACTGAATTAATGAATATGATTTTAAGCACTTCCACTTAGGCGGCACATTAATATCACTAGCAGTATTAGTGCTATTAATATTAGCCTGGTGATTAGGGCGTTCGACTCACAGTTTGTGGGTCGCGGGTTCGAATCCCAATAATAAACATGCTTACCCTTTCGGCCGTAGTGGCGTTATAATGTGACTGTCAATATTACTGTTTGTTGGTAAAGAGTTGGCGGTGACTGGTGTTGACTAGTGCCTTCCTTCTTGCCTATCACTTCTAAATTAGGGACAGCTAACCCTCAAGTAGCTTTGCGCGACATTCAACAAACAAACTACTGTTAGTGATTCTATTATTACTTAGCTTACATCGAATATATAATAGATCCGATTTTTGTGGGTTTTGTCAATGAATGTTAGGACTAAGTAATCACATGGCATTCAAATTCTGTAATACTATTGTTTCAATGTAATACTGTTCTGTATTCAAACTTCAATGTTATTTATTGTTAGTGTTAATGATACTTATTTAAACTATGATAAGCATCTAACAGTGACTTTAACTACCTTTAGTAATAAGCATTGATCCTTTGAAAAGGTCTGTTAGTGGGCTTATAAATAAAAAAATCAAGTTTCGATATCCACGGTGGACAGAGTACAGATAGTCAATTGTGTAGCTTTGTGCTTTAAAACAACCAAACAAATTATCATGTTTCATCAGCATCACTGTTGTTCATGTTTAAATCACAAACTTAAACCTAACTACTTTATAATTATTCCATGCACAATAATCTAAATGGCTACGGTTGCAAAAGTTGCGATAAGTTAACCACAAGGCACAACATACACAATTTTCAATAAATGTAAAACCAAACTTATCAGTCGATTTGTCACTTGTTTGTAATTTGTCACTGAATTAATACATATAATAAACAATATTTGCTGAAAGTCCTTAATTCTAAAGTAGATCTAAAAAGATTCGAACAAATTAATTAACTGAGGTTTAAAAAGAAAAATATAATTTTACTATTTACAGTACATATGACTTTTTTAATACATGCTCATGTCAAAAGAAGTTCATTTTAAATATACTTATAATTTACAATTTATGCGGGATGAGTTATAAAACTTTAGGCAAGAATTCGCCAGGTCATAATGACTTGAGAGCCCTTTGTCAAAGTTGCTTAACAATCCAAGAAAAATATAAATTGTAATTTAGAAATATATTTGATGTCTGAAGTTAAAAAAAACCATAAAAAGGAAGCAATGAAAAATTAAGTTGTTTCATTAAATTATGTGTGCAAACAACACGTTTGATAAAGTTATTTAAATATTAATCAGAAGTACTAAAATCATAAGCCGGAAACATACTGGGTTAGGAACCTTAATTAAAATCTAGTGATCTGATACCAAGTATTTTCAATCTTAACAGTACCTTAATTAAGCAACACATGGTCTAAACAGATAGGTTTGTTTGTAGTTAAGC